GGGTAGGGCCTGGGGTGTGGTGGCTCTGCCATCTCTGCATGCTGCCACTGACCTCCATTTTGTCTGGGAGGTGGCAGCTGGAGCTGGCACAGATCCTGCCACCACCCTCCACCTCCCTGCATGTGGCCAGAGCTGTAGCCCCCCAAACCTGGGGTTGTGGGAACCTGGTGTCTGCCTCCTCCCTGGCTGCCTACCCTTCTCCGTGCCCAGCCATGCTTGTCACCCATTGGAGCTCTCTGTCTTTCCATGCGGATTTTCCCTGCTGTGGGTTTGAGCCTGTGAAAGAGAGGATGGAGAGAGCAGGGACGGGGGTGGGGTTACTTGCCTTTGCAGCAGGGTTGGGGAGCAGAACTCCTCATCTGCATCCTTACATTTGCTACCTGCAAATTGAATCTGCATGGAAATTCTCAGGGAGCTGCAAACCCTGCTGTGGAGCTGTGTCCCCCGTTGGGGTGGGCAGGAGGCAAGGAGGTACAGAGAAGCGTTCCCGTGATGGCACTAGGGAAGCAGGGGCCTGGATTTCAGCTGGGAATGGGGGGCTGGACTGTCCGCTGAGTTACTTCCCTGCTGCAGGTGGTGCTCTGGAGAAAACTGCACTGTCATGGCCCCTTGCCCTGTGCGGGGCGGGAGGCGACAGGGGCGCACCCCCAGCTCGGCCGGCAGGCACCGATGGTGCCGTGTCAGCTGGCACCATGTCCCCTGCTGCCCTAGAGGCAGAGCAGAGTCCCGTGGCTGCAGTCAGAATTGAGGGGCCCCAATGAGGGATGCAGGGGAAGGGCTCTCTACAACAAAGCCTGGCGGCTGCTGAGAACACACTGGTGCAGCCAGATGGGGCGTCCACCCTCGTCACTGAGGTGACGTGGGGTTGGATGCGCACAGACAAAGGGAAACTCACCTTGGATTTCCCTGGGCGCAGGCAGCTCCTCATGTGCTGGAGCTGGGGGACGGCAGCATGGCATGTTCCTTAGCATCCTTTGGGGAAGAGCTTGCTGTGGGTGGCACCTGGGGACAATGTTCCTTGTCTCGCTGGTCACCTCTCAGCAGGAGAGGCTGACAATTGGTAGCCCTTGGATTTAAGAGAGCTTTCATTAGCTGATCTCTGCCCAATTAGTCTTAGCTGATCCAGTTAATCATGGCTCTCTAGGTCTTTTGCTCCTCACTGGAAGTGACCAGTTATGCCATAGGGATGGGTTCAACCAGCAGGCTGCACGGGAAGGGGGGAAAGGGATGCCCTGCAGAATTAGGGGACAGGCCCAGATGTGCCTTGGCTCCCTGGCCCCGGGGACTTGGCTGTTCTCCTCTGCCACCTCCTTCATGTGTAGGGTAGGCCTGGGAAGCGGCGGGGAGGGAGCAGGGAGTGGGGCCGTGGTGCTGGCCCGCTCCCAGTGAAAGGCTGGTCGTGGCTTATTGAATTTCTCTCGATGGCAGTGGATTAAGCAGGCGGTGGCTGGCTGTCCCCAGGCAGAGTGAGCTGCCTGGGCTCGGGGGGGCGGGGTGGCTGCCTGCCCCTGCCCACTGCAGCCCGGCCCCTCTCTCTGCAGGACACTGAGTGCCCAACCAGTGACGCCGTGGCTCATGGTGCTCCCATGGTGTGTGGGTGCAGGCTGAATTCCTCCCCACAGCTGAGCCAGGAAAACAAGCTGGGGGAAGGAGGGAAGGAGGCTCGGGAAGCAGCTGCGCAGGTGTCTGCTGGTGGTCCCCAAGGGGACACAGTGTTGCCTGGGGTCCTTGGGCTGCCATTGCAGAGATGGGACTGGAGAGCTGCAGCGGAGCAGAGGGAAGCAGTGCGTTGCTGACCGAGGAAGGTGAAGGAAATGATGGAGTAGAAAACAGAGTCGAGCTTGGGGCTCTGCAGCAGGCAGTACTGGCAGGGAGAGGAGCCCACGCCACGGGGCAAGGCTAGCCAGATGGGAATACGCTGGGATGTGGACATGGGGACGGCTGCTGGCGAGGTGGGGGCTTTTCATTGCTATTGAGGGTGGGCTAAGGGGGTATGGGATGTGGGGCTGAGCAGGTTCCTGCCCCTTGCCCTGAGAAGGGCAAGCAGCACTAATGAAGGCTACACAGCAAGATGAGGCATGTGGAAAAGTGAGACGAAAGAGAAACCGGAGCTTCTTCATCGAAGTGATAGGGCTGGAGGGGCTGGGAACAGTGCAGGGGTGAGAGGGAATAAGAGCAGGGATGAAGTGGCCCGTGGCAGGCAGCAGGCAGTCCTGTGACTGGTGGGGTCACTGATGAGTGTGCTGTTCTGGTGGCTGTGCAGGAGGCAGGAGCCCAGGGACCTGACCCACCTCTTCAGAGCCTTAGTAGCTGGAGAGGCTGCAGAGCTGGGGGAAGGGAGCTGTCTTGGCTCAGGAGGAGAGGGAAACATTTGACATGAGCAGTTGCCGGGTGCTCATGTTGTTTAGCCCGGTGATGGATCCGTTGTCCCTGAGTGGTGCCACAGGGTGGAGCAGCTCGAGCCAATGGCCTCATGAGGATGCAGCCCTTCCATCTAGGAATATATCCTATCGTTCCATGGGAAAACCAGCTTTTTCATTCCCCTTTGGCGAAGCACTCCTGTTAAATTTTTCCTTTCCCCCATCTGAGGCAGAGGCCACTGGCACGCAGCAGCCCACTCGCTGGCTTAGGGACTCAAGGGTGGTGTTAAACACCTGCTTAAAATAATCCAAGCTCGAGAAAACCTGAGACCAAATACTTGAACTCTGGAACTGGTGGAATTTACGGGTGTGATCTCTAGATGAGCACTGTGGTAGTTCCAGAGCCGTGCCAGTGGGGCAGTGAGAGGAGAGTTAGGGAACTCCAGTAGGAGAAGCTTTGTCTTCCTCCTGCTGTTGGGCATGCTGGCTCGCTTTGAAAATAGGCAAAGGGTTTCTGAAAGGCAGTGATGAGCTTGTAACACTGTCTTGCTGCAAATTTTTTCACTGTGCCGTGCTTTTGTTTTCCTCTCACCCCCTTGGAAATGAAACCAGAGCTGTCAAACCTCAGGTAGTTTTAAAGCCATCCCCTTCTCTTGGGACACTTTCCATTCTATGGATCTGTTTTTTTCTTCCCTTTTCCCCCCCTCTTTTCCACAAATTCAGCTGTACTTTTAATTTCCATTCTGGGAAAACCCATCTTGTGTTGAGGATCCATCCTTACTGCTCCACTTTCTTCTGATCTTGTCCCATGTAACCAGAGTTGTGCCATTGCTCACTCACAGCTCGTTCCTCCCTGATCTCCTTCCTCCCAGAGCCAGCATCCTGCTGGCAAAACCCAGGCTTGAAAAGCCTTAGGGAATTTGCAGGCACCCTTGCAGGTGAGATGCCAGAGGAGCCAGTTCCAGCCTGTACTGAGGGGTCCTGACCTCCTCTTCCACCACCAGGCTCATCATAGCAGATCAGGGAGCAGGGACAGATAGGAGAAGTGAGGAACATTAGAAGGCAGGAATAGATTTTGTCAGGTCCAAAAGGATCCCTAAGGATACAGTGGTCAAAGGAAGAATCCCAGCATCATTTTCTGACCAATGGTAGTGAGGCTTAACTGCAGCTTGAGGAAGGTGGGATGGGCTATGGAGCACTTGGCCACCAGTGCTGGGATGGGCAACTACTCTGGGAGATGTTGGCAAGCAGTTTGTTTCATCTTGTGGGATTCGTGATCAATAATTTATTAGCAAAACAAGTGGAAAAACTGCGATGAACTGGAAACTTCAGCTGACCCATTCCCACCACGGCTGCTTGTGCTGACGCCACACGTCTGCTTTGTGAGAGCTGAATGGGAGCCACATGCCAGCAGCTGTGTTTAACAGCTGCCTCCTTTCTCAGTGGAATGCTATCACTTTCCTCCCTGGTCCCCCCTGTGCTGGTGCCCAGCCCCTGCTTTGCTGGGGTCGGAGGGGAGGCAGGAGGTTCAGGTGATTGGCAGGGCCTGTGGGCTTGCTTGCAGTTGAGGGGCTATCTGCTCAGTGCCACTGGCACCCTGGGATGGAAAACCACTCCTTGGGCGTTGTGCTGATGCTGACAGTGCCTACATGGCCCTGCCCTGGGGATGGACCCTGGTATTGAGCTGAGGGTCCTGACCTGAGATATGATGGGGAGGAGGGAGAGGTAAAATGTGGGCAAACCAGTGTTCCTGGGAGGTTTCCTTGCACAGGCTTTCCATTCATCCTGCACTGCTGCAAGATGTGGATTGGGATGTGGATGCAAGCTTCCCTAACTCCCTTTTCCTCTCTCCTTGCAGAACAGCCACTGGTAGCAGGACCCACCCCTGGCCGGCGCGATGGCGGGAGCATCGGTGAAGGTGGCGGTGCGCGTCCGGCCCTTCAACTCCCGGGAGATGAGCCGGGAATCCAAATGCATTATCCAGATGTCAGGAAGCACCACTAGTGAGTGCCTTGGGGCACAGGGGCTTTGAGTACTGCCTGGGGAGGAGCATGTGTGGTCTGGCCCCAGCAGTGAGCACTGGGCTGCTGGGATCCTTGGTGCAGATGCCTGCAGCACCCAGAGTTGTTTGGAGGAGGGAATGTGGGGAGGATGTCACCTTTCCCATAGAGAAATGCAGTCCTGCTGTTGAAATGGCAGTGATGGGATCTTTATGGCACTGAGCCCTTGGATTTCAGTGATAGTGAATGGATCAGCATTCCCTGGTAGGTGATGAGGGAGAAATCAAAGAAATCACAGTGTGATTTGGCTTGGAAGGGACCTTAGCAACCATCTCATTCCAACCTCCTGCCATGGGAAGGGACACCTTCCACTAGACTTGGTTGTTCAGAGCCACATCCAACCTGACCTTGAAGCCATGCATGGGTCTGTGAGCGGCTTCTGACAGCGCTCCTGGGCCAGGTACCACACACTGTGGCATGCCAGGACCCATCCCTACCTCTGTGGGGTTCTTGGAGCTGCAACCACAGCAGGATGGAGGGGCAGGAGTGGAGTTTGCCCAGGGAATGTTGTGTTCGAGGTGGCGGATGTAGCAGGGGGGCTTGGGGCTGTCTGTCCAGCCAAGAAGCCTGTCCGGCCTTTGCTGCTCTTTAAGTAACAGCTTCTGGTTTTTGGGAGTGGCAGCTGAACCCCTCCTCTTTGGCTCTGGAAGCCTCCAGATGGGACAGCGTCTAAAATAACTCCGTGCCTGCCCGCCTGGGGCTGCCTGCGTCACCAAGGGTGGGTGAAACACCGGTGCCAGCCACCCCCGCCGTGCTGACAGGCTGCCATGGCAACCCCAGGGTGGGGAGAGAGGGCACCCAGGGGTGTGGGGAGACTCTGGGTCCCCACTGGGCCCTCTGCTCACCCCAGGCCTTGGGAACAGGAATGGGTGGGTCTGTGGGGCATTGTCTGCTGGACTCTGGCGTCCTGTGGGGGTTCTACCTTCCTGGTTGGGCAGGGGTTCTCTGTCTGCCCGGGGCGCAGAACTTCTGCCCTCGTGGTGAGGAAGCCTCCCAGCCCCACAGGAGCTTCCCACCTGCCCAGAGCCGGGGCATAGACAGGGTAGATGTGCCTTGTTCTGGTTCTGATGGCGAGGAGGGTGACCTGCCGTGCCCCAGTCCCGGTCAAGAGCATCAGGCAGCCCCCACCACCGTGGCCGTGTTTGCTCGGAGCCATCCACCCCTGCTCATCCTGCACCCCCTGGCTGTGCCCCTGGCCCCCCACCCCCTGCCCCTGCCTGAGCCAGGGAGGGCAGCGGGGCTGGGAGCAGGAACCTTTTGCTGACAGCAAGGATTTTCTCCATGAATGGACAAACCTCTGGCTATTCCCCTTGGCCAGGGGACTGGAGAGCAGGCGTGGGAGGCTCAGAGGCCTGCTTCTCCTGTGGCTGGGGGAGGCAGAAGGATGCCAGTAGTGCCAGCAGAACAGGACTGTCTCACCCCCAAGCTCCTTGCAGAGAAGCCAAAAATAAATATGTCTGTGGGGAGTGAGAGCAAGTTTTCCCCTTCACAGGATTATTTGCTTTGACCCCTGCATGTGCCGGGGGCAGGGGACAGGTACTTCTCCTGTCTAATGCACTGAACCCTGTAGGGGACAGCAGGGGCAAGGGACCAGGGTGGGAAGGGGTCAGCTTTTCTCTGCTGTCCTTTTCCCTGCAAACTTCCAGCTGCCACAACCACCCACCTGCCCTCCAACACTGCTGCTTTATTCCCGTGGTGTCCCTCACTCTGTGGGGTCCATCCTGGGCACCAACATTCCCAGCCCCTGTCCTGGCAACTCCCACCAAGATGGTAAGGACAGGACTCCTGGCTTTGATCCCACAAAGCCAGTAATATTCTCTGACTGGAGCCATGCCTCTGCTGGCTTTAAAATCTGATTATTTTCTCTGCTGTGGGTTCTGGGTTCTCTCTTTCTCGGTGCCTGCCCACTTGCTGCACTCTGTCACTCTGCTGGCTCCTCAGGCAAGAGACATCTCCAGAAGTTTTCTTGCTCCTGCCCCCTTGTCTATATTTCTGTATTCACCCCCACACCCCTCCTTGCCTTTTTAATCCCATTTGTCCAGAGCATTAATCTTTTGCAAAAGACCTGGATGCCTGAGAGGAAAAATTCCACCAGCAGCATCCCTCTGCCTGCAGGCAAATAAATGGGAATGACAGGGGCGTGGGGAGAGCATTTCAGCTCTCCCTGCTCTCAGACTTCTTCCTTCTCCCTGTGTCCATCCCAGTCTCTGGTTTCCTGTGCCAGCTGGGCAGTTGCAGCTGGGATGCCTGGAGCCGCTTGTGCCATCCTCAGCTGCTCCTCTGCCCCGTGCCCAGCACGGGATCCAGAACAGCCACCTTGTTCCCATCCTGCCTACTCCAGGACTCATTTTTGCTCCTGTTCACTGTGGTGAGGGTCACCCCTGCAGGGCAGAGGCAGACTCGAGCAGAGCACAGGTGGCATGGCAGAGCTGCCAGGTTGAACACCAGGACCCATCAGAGATGCACCATCCCACTTCTTACACGACCTCTACACCTGCTTCTCTTCACAACACCCCCAGCACAACAGCCAGGCATTGGTAGGGATCAGGGACGGGCAGCCCCTGTGGCTGCCCACGCTGCCCACAAAGATCTGCTCTTCCAGGGACCTCCACGTCCCCATTTGCAGCTGCAGGATTGCCAGTTGTCTCTTCCCAGCCCTTTCTCCTGGTAATTAGTTTGCCCAGGATGCAGCAGACATCCAGAGCATCTGAATCAGGCTGCCTGCAGTGGGTAGGCAGGGGGGGAGCCTGTGGCTGCCCCTCTTTGGTGTGAGAGCTGGGCTTTTGTCCACAGTGAGTAGCGTCTGAGCAGCACTGTGCTGTGGTTTCATGGTTGGGGCTGGATCCTGACCCCACTTCCCACCCTCTCCCTGCCCGTCCCGCTGCTGTTGTGTGCAGGGCTGGGCTTATCTCAGGCCAGAAGTGGCAGACCCTTACCGAGGGAGCATCCATTGTGGCAGTGGAGGAGGAATTTGGAGCAGAAAGCATTCATATCCATAACACCATGCACCTGGGTATCTGACACCACAGTAGCAGGCTGCACCATGCCTGGGGCTGCTCAGGAAGGTCCCACCTGGAATCTAGAGTGGATGTGAGCCCTGGATGAATGCTGGCTTCAGGACAGGGCAGGGTAGTTTGGGATGGAGGGAGGTCTGTTGGCCTCAGGGCTTATGGGCTCCTTGTCCTCAGTGGTGGCAGGGAGCAGCTGTGGGCTGTGGGCATGGGGACTGTGCTGTGCAGGCCTGCAAGGTCACCTCAATGTCACCTAACATGGCTGGTGGCTGGATCTCATGATTACCCACTGGTTTGGGTTTCTTCTGACGCATCTGTTGTTTCAGAAAAAAAACCACTGAAAATGCTCTACAGGAGAAAAAAAAAGCATCGAGCAAGGAAGAGCAGTGATGCAGGCTCCAATTTCCATGGCAACGTCCTTTTCATCAGGGGATGAGAAAAGCAGGCTCTTGTTTCTGCTGGTGGTGTGACACGAGGCATTAATCACCCTGCTGGGGCTGGGGACCTGGAGAAGCAGGAGCTGGGGGGGCCCTAGGGGAGCCCCAATGGGGTTGCAGCTGCTCCCACCCAACAGTGCCAGCGTGGTGGCTTTGGGCACAGTCCCCCAGCTGTGGGGTAAGGAAGGCTGTGACCCTTCTGTGCCAGTGCTGGGCTCCCATGGGCAGGGGCCACAACAGCAAGGAACCTGAGGGAAGGAGCCATGTCCCCCTCACCGTGTCCAGCAGGATGTTTGGGCAAGGCTCTGCCTTGTTCCCTTGGGCTCTGCTGGCCATGGCATCCACCTCCTCTGTTTTCATTGTTGGGGTCTGGGGGCTCTAGACGCATCTGCAGAGCTGGAAGGGTCCCAGTCCACTTTCCAGGACTGTTTTGGACTGAACTCCATCACCCCTGACCCCTCCCACAGGGGGTGTGGGAGGCAGGGGTACCACACTTGGCTGGAGGCCTCATGTTCCCATCTGTTTGTCCCTAGCTATCCTGAACCCGAAGCAGCCTAAAGAGACACCAAAAAGCTTCAGCTTTGACTATTCCTACTGGTCCCACACTACGGTAAGCACTGGGAGGTCTGAGCCTACCTGGAGCACCGGGCTGGGGAGAGGCAGGAGGGCCTCCCTTGCCAAATTTCATCGTATATCCCTATTCTCTGCAGCCTGCAGACATCAACTATGCATCCCAGAAGCAAGTGTACCGGGACATTGGTGAGGAGATGCTGCAACATGCCTTTGAAGGCTACAATGTGTGCATCTTTGCCTACGGGCAGACGGGAGCTGGAAAATCCTACACCATGATGGGGAAGCAGGAGAAGGACCAGCAAGGCATCATCCCACAGGTGTGCCTGGGGAAAGCTCCCTGTCCCCCTGGTCCCAGAGGCATGCCCAAAGGAAAAGCAGAGCTGGGAGGGAAGAGGGCAGCAGGGTGGGAGTGGGGCCAGGTTTTGCCAAGGTCTAATACAGCGCTGCCATGACAGCAAGCTGGCATGGCTCCATTGGAGAGTGGGGGGCCAAGGAGAGTCATCCAGACTCTCCCAAGGCTGGATGGACTATGGTCTGGACACACAAGACTGGTGTTCAGGAGCAGCAGGAGTCCGAGTGCTGAGCTGCTTACCCAGAGCTGCCACGTGCTGGCCCAGCAGGACACGAGGGGCCTCTGGGGATGCTGATCAGCACGGGGGGCTCTGACAGCTCCCTGGGAGCCATCCCACCACCCTTTGGCTCTATTTTTTGGGGTGAGAAGGTAAAAATCCCTGTGTCCTGGGCACCCCAGGCAGGAGCATCCTGCTGGCAGGGGACTGAGCCTGGCTCTTCTCTCCGCAGCTGTGTGAGGACCTCTTCTCCCGCATCAACGACACGACGAATGACAACATGTCCTACTCCGTGGAGGTAGGCACCCCACTGCCTCTCTACTCCTCTTCCAGCCTCCCACCATCTCTGGAAGCTGTGCTGGTGTGCAGGCCCCTCTTTGGGAGTGCCCCTGGGTGTGGGGTGGGCAGGCAGGACCTCATTCTGCTAGCCCTGCCCGTGCCTTCTGCTCTAGGTGAGCTACATGGAGATTTACTGCGAGCGCGTGAGGGACCTCCTGAACCCCAAGAACAAGGGGAACCTGCGGGTGAGGGAGCATCCCCTTATGGGCCCGTATGTTGAAGACCTTTCCAAGCTGGCCGTGACCTCCTACAATGACATCCAGGACCTCATGGACTCTGGAAACAAGGCCCGGTGAGTTGGGGAAGGAGGAGATGGACAGGATTTGGAGGGCTTGCAGACACCTCTAGAAGGTCCTGCTTCACTTCCTTGCTTTGCCAGTCCATCTGCTCTAGAGATGGCAGTCCCCTTCTCTCTGAGCATTGGGTACCCTCCTCTTCCTTTCACCTTACCTCCTTCCTGCTCTGAAAACTCACTGGAGCCAGCAGGAGAAGGCCTAGGCTTGTGCATCTCTCCTCCCATAGTCCTGTCTTGTCCTCCAGAGTTGCCTTCCCACCATGTACCCTGTCCTGGCATGAGCCCTGGCCCCATCAACAGCCATTTTAGTGTCCCCCACAGGGTGTCACACCTCCCTGTGCTCCTGTCCCTGCAGCACAGTGGCTGCTACCAACATGAATGAGACCAGCAGCCGCTCCCACGCCGTGTTCAACATCATCTTCACGCAGAAGAGACATGATGCTGAGACAGACATCACCACTGAGAAGGTGAGAGCAGAGCCCACACGGATCCAGGAAGGGCTTTGTGTGCTGTCATCAGCACTTGGAATGAGGTGGTGCAGCCTGATGCAGGATTGGAACAGGAGGGAGATAAGTCCCAGGTGCGTGCTGGGCTCATGGTCCCTTGTGGTACCAGCTCCTGGACAGGATATTTGGCAGCTGATGCCCTCCAGCCCTACCTGCAAGGATATTAGCCCTGCTCCTGGACAAATCCTGCAGGGATGACCCCACAGAGCCCACCGCTGCCCTCAGAGGAGTGTTACCCTGCAAAAGGTCTTGGCTTCGTGCCAGGCAAGGTTTGCTGTGCCCTCAGGGCTGACAGCCTCCCTTCTGCCTCCAGGTCAGCAAAATCAGCTTGGTGGACCTGGCTGGGAGCGAGCGAGCCGACTCCACAGGCGCCAAGGGCACAAGGCTGAAGGTGAGAGTTGATGTGAGGTCCACTTCTGCCGGTGGGGACACCACGTCCTGCCCCCTCATCCCCAGCCAAGTCATCTCCTTTCCTTGCCCACTGGTTCCTTGCCCACTGTGCTGCCAAAATCCTTGATAGGGTTGTGTTTGAAAGCTGCCTAATGCTAGTTTCATCACGGTCCATGAGTCCCAGCTGGGAGGTGCTGGTTATCCAGTAAGACCAGCTACTCTTTGCCCACCCCATACTGGGAATTCCCCATTCTTCTGGGGTTTAATGAGGCTCTGAAATGGGGCCTGAGCATCTGAGCTCTTCCTCTCCTCTCCAGGAAGGAGCAAACATCAACAAGTCCTTGACCACTCTGGGGAAGGTCATCTCTGCCCTGGCTGAAATGGTAGGTAGCCAGAGCACAGGGAAGCAGCGGCACTGGAGGGGAATGGGCTTGGCCCAGCAGGGATGGACTCAGCTCCAAGGGATGGAGCATCCCACCTCTGAGGGATTGGCAGATACCTCCCAAGCTGTCCCTGGGGATGGAACAAGCTGGGCTGGTGAGGCTGCCATCTCCACTGGGACCTGTGCCTGCTGCTCTCTACTTGGGGGATGGGGGAGCTGTGGTGGGCACCGAGTAGGGAAGCAGTTCCCTTAAACAGTCTCTCCACTTCCTTTGCAGGATTCGGGGCCAAACAAGGTAGGTACCCTGGCACAGTTGGGTGGAAGTGGTTTGCAGGGTGGTTTGGGGATGAGATTGTGCCTGGACACAAGCCATGCTTCTCACAGGGGCTGGCAGAGCCTTCAACATCCTCCTCACCCTCCTCACCCTATGGCTTTCAGTACCCAGCCTTAAACATCCCCCCAGCCCAGGGCATTTCACAGACAGGACCTGTGGACCTGAGCAAAGATGCCCAAGGTTGCAGGGGCCAGGCAGAGCCATCATCCTCCAAGTCCCCATGGCTGGGGACCAGCTGTCACCTCTTTGAAGAGAGCAGGCAGCCTGACAGCCCTTCCCTTTGCTCTCCATCCCCCAGAACAAAAAGAAGAAAAAGACGGATTTCATCCCATACCGGGACTCGGTGCTGACCTGGCTGCTGCGGGAGAACCTGGGTGAGGACAGGTGGGGGGTACAGTGTGGTGGTGGGCATGGGTGCTGAGCAGAGGGTGACAGCTGGCACAGGGACCAGCGTCTCCCTGATGTGGGTGTGTCTCTCTGGGCAGGGGGCAACTCCAGGACTGCCATGGTCGCTGCTCTCAGTCCTGCTGACATCAACTATGATGAGACCCTCAGCACCCTCAGGTAGGAAGAAGTGCCCTTGTTCCCACTGCACTGAGCAAGAGCAGGGGAGTCTCTGAGGCCCAGGCACTGCCACGTGCTCTCCTCACCTTTGTGGCATCCCTGGCTGGAGGTGTGGTGTGGGGGGAACCTGCAACCCCAGACAAGATGGAAACGACTGTCCCAGCACTGGGATCCTCCAAAGGATCACTTGCTGGAAGGGCTCTGTGGCACTCCCACTTGACAAGGAGCTGGAGTTTTGCTCCTCTCCTCGCCACTGCTCAAGACCCTGCCTTCCCTAGGTATGCCGACCGTGCCAAGCAGATCCGTTGCAACGCTGTCATCAATGAGGACCCCAACAACAAGCTCATCCGGGAGCTGAAGGACGAGGTGGCACGTCTGCGTGACCTTCTCTATGCCCAGGGTCTTGGGGACATCATTGACAGTAGGTACCACAGGTGCTCTCTGCCAGTGGCTCCCTGCAGCGATGGGCTGAGGTCCCCCCAGCCTGCAGGGCCAATGTCCCCACATCTGCCCTGCATCCTGCTCCAGCCTGCCATGGTGGCATCGTGCTGCCTGTGGCGAGCCCCTGGTGTGTGTTTGCAGCCCCCAATCCCCTCCTATCGCAGGAGGAGCTGCTTTCCACCCAGAAAACTTTCCCTTCTTCCCCTCCACCTACTTTCTTCAGCGTTCGGCACCCAGCAGAGGTGCCAGGAAGGTGTTCCTGGGGCTGCACGCACCCATGGGTTCTCCTCCCTGTGCTGTCAGATATCCAGCTGAGATGAACCCCCTCTTGTTCTGTTCTTTCTGTCTCACCCCCGCTCCCTGCCCTCTCTTTCTCTCTTAGCCCATCCTGCTGCAGGAGGATCCAAATGTGTGTATTCCCCATCACTGGTACTCTCTGTTGCTTCACGGCTTTTGGGAGGCATAGGCTGTGCCCAGGGGCACTCGTGCAGCATGGGGAGGGGCTCCCACAGCCAGCCCCTGCTGATGGGGCAGCCCGTGCCCACAGGCTGGCCATCCCCAGGGAGCTGGCAGAAAGGATAGTGGCAGAGTCGTGGTTAGCACCTGGGCTTGGGACAGTGCTCGAGGGACCAGTGTCCTCCCACTCAGCCATGCCAAGGGCTCAATCCCCACAGGGATCCTTTCCTCCATGCTGTCATGATGTTTCCTCTGATTGCTGCTGCTGCTGCTTCTGCTGGTGCTGTGTCTCACTGGGACTGGAGCCTAGCACGGCACTTGGGTGGGACGGCATGGTGCTCTCCTGATGAAGGGGTGGGTGGGGATGGCTAGGAGGATTTTGCCCATGGATAAGCACTGTGGCCCCATCCCACCCCGAGTCAGGCAGTGCAGCCAGGCTATGGCAAGCCTGCTGAGGAGACAAGGGCCTGGCTATCCCCTCCTGGCTCAGCATCCCTGGATGTGGGCCGATGGAGATGGGTGATTAAAGCTGCACCTGCTAAGCTGTGCCCTGCCCATCTCCAGCACAGCGTGCTGAGACCCTGCGACTTCCTGGGAGCTGGAGGAGCATCTCTGGTAGCTGGATCCTAAGCTGCTGCAGGTCACTCTTGGGGTGCTGGCCAGCAAGCACCGCTGCCTGTAGCCCTGGCTTCACTCTCTGGCTGCCTGGCCAAGGTGCTGCTCCAGCAGGCCAAGGGCTTCCTGTGAGCAGATCCTGTCAGGGAATCCTGCCACTTCTCCTGCCCTGTCCACCTGCCCCTTAGTAGGGCCACCACCTCTCGTTGCCTTCCCTTCTCATTCTCTGCCCCCGGATCCAGCTAATCTAGGGCATCTGGGCAGAGAAAACCACCCAGGCTGTATCAGATGGGGAGGATGACAGGGGCAGTGGCACACGCTCAGGGAGGACATTTGATGTCAAACCTGATTGCTGCAGGATCTGGTGTTGCAAAAAAGCATCCCTGGGAGCCTGGGAAGGCTGCTTCCAGCAGCTGCTTCACAAAACTGCCCTGTGTCCTGAGGGGAGAGAGCATGTGCCCTTGCCCTGGTGCTGTCTGTGGTGCTGTGCTGCTGCCTGTGCCTTTTCCTTGTAATTCCTGGCTTTCTTCTTGGCACACCGGCCACTCTTTTTTTTTTCCCAACAGCTTTTCTTGTCTCTATCTTTCTCTTTCTCTCTCTTCCTTTCCGTGTGTCTCTTCCTGGCCCATCCCTCCCCGCCCATAGATTTGTCCGACTTTGAGAACAATAATGATGCTAGAGGGGCAGAGCTGAGTCACCGCCATGACAATCTCTCCACAGTGACCAATGCCATTGCTGGGATCAGCCCCTCTTCCTCCCTGTCTGCCTTATCCAGCCGTGCTGCCTCTGTTGCCAGCCTCCACGAGCGCATCATGTTTGCCCCAGGCAGTGAAGAGGCAATTGAAAGACTCAAGGTAAGAGGACAGTGCCCTGCAGGACAAAGGGCTCAGCTCAACGCGCTGTGGCTTGCAGAGGGGGCTCAGTATTTTTTGGAAATTCATGATGGATGATGCTCCTGGGAAGCAATGCTCGTATGTCCTCTTGCAGAGCAGACAGACCCAGGGTTTGCCCAAACTGCCGGGTGGCAGGGGGTTTGGTATTGTAGGCCTACCTGGTGCTGCCATCCTTCCTGCAGGGTGATGACTACCTTTGCCCTGTGGGATGGGTGCTCCCAGCTTGGGATGGGCACTCCTGGCTCGGGATGAGTGCTCCTGGCTCAGCATGGTGCAGGAGCCGGCTGGCAGCAAGAGGGTGGAGAGGCTGGTCTTTGTGCCTCACTCCTTGAAGATGGGGCTGATGGAAAGATGTGGGTGAAATGCTGCTGCACCTTGTATAAGCCAGCCTGAAACTGGGACCAGTGTCCCACTGCAGCACGCTGGGCAGAACTGGGCAGAGCGGGCAGGTCTGCTGCCCGTGGGATACACTAACCCCCTGCTCAACCCACGTGTGCCAGGAAACAGAGAAGATCATTGCGGAGCTGAATGAGACGTGGGAGGAGAAGCTGCGGAGGACAGAAGCAATCCGGATGGAGAGGTGGGTGGGTTGGGATGGTATGGGACAGGGTGGGATGGGATGGGATGCCATTCCCTTTGCTCCAGCAGTTCAGTTCCTGGGGCAGCCAGGCAGTTTGAATGTCCAGCCATACCCTCATCTGTCACTGGGGCACCCCAGTGCCCACCTCATTAGCCTGCACAGAGGTGGGCTGCTCTGAGAAACCACCAGAATTGTGAAGAGAGCTGAAGCAAGCCCTGTGTCTGCAATCCATGGGACAAATCCATGGGATCAGGTTGCATCCTAGTGCCAGCTCCAGGGGTGCATGGGGCTTTGACAGGTTCTTCTTTCCCTTGCTCCTTCAGGGAAGCGTTGCTGGCCGAAATGGGGGTGGCCATGAGGGAGGATGGAGGCACCTTGGGTGTTTTCTCTCCTAAAAAGGTAGGATCATCCTATTCTCTTCTTCCTGGGGACTGGTTTGTACCCCCACAGCTCCCTTCTGGCCTGTGCCATCACAGCTAGTCAGCCCCATATATTTCACTAGCTGTTTCTTGGCTCTGAAACTTATGGGGGAAATCCCAGCATTGAGCCTGCTGGGTACAAACATGGGGAGAAATATGTGGCTAAATGTCCAGCCCCCATTGCTGGGGTGCTGTCCCCTTTCATGGAGGCATTTGCTTATGATTGCTGTGTTGGACTTCAGTGTCAGCTTGTGAAAATCTGTACTTTGGGATATTTAAAATTGCTGCCCCTGAACCTGAAACCAGCAAGTCCTCGCTAAGAAATGTGGATGGGAAAATATTCCATCTCTTCATTTCTTGTAGCATTTGCCTTGGCCAAACCCCTTGTGTGTCTCAAGCTGAGGTGGTGATAAGGATGTCAGGACCTTCCCCTTACATGCCCCAGCTTGACTTTTAGGATAAATTTGTACACTGTTGTCTTTGTTTCTTGTCCCAGCCACTGCCTGTTAGGAGTCCTGACCTTTGGGTAGGAAGCGTAGGGGTTTATTCCCCCAAGCAGGTTAGTCTTGGAGGTGGGGCATTGCTGTGGTGGTGTTGGTGCCTCCTTGCTCTTCAGCTATCTGATGGGTGGAAACTCTTCTGAATTCTCCAGTGGCTGGCAAGAAAAGTTGGTGTTGACAGTGTGCAAACCCCTTTTTATTATGGGCATTGCAGGACAGAACTATGCTGTTCCACTTTGTGCCATGGCCGGGCTGGTCGTGGCTCCAGGAGCTCAGCAGGTCAGCAGCTTTGCAAATCTGGACAAAAACTGCAGGTGAAGGAGCCTCAGCCCCCAGGACCACGTGTCTGTCCAGAGGGGCCAGACATTAAATGTTACAGCCAACTTCTGCCAGCCACCATGGAGAATAGCCCACCTTTCCCTTGACCTCCAGCTCTGCTGCCCAGTTTGGAGTGAGTCTCTGCTGTCAGCCAGAGCTCGTGGCACCGTGTTGAGGGGACCCCTCTGCATGCTGGGTCTCAGCAGGCTGATGCAGTGTTTCTTACGGTCACTATTCTTCTGTCTGGGAAGCTCAGAACTTCACTCACTCATACTCCTGGGACTTTCCCTCTTCCCTGAAGGTGCAATCCCAGCAGCTAAGCTGGCTGTGGGCAGGGAGGTCTGTGACTGGGGGAGAAATTTCCTTCTTGTCAAGAACAAAGTGTTTTGTGACCCAGGGGAGGAAAGGGATGGGAGGGAATTGTTTGGAAGAAGACCAGGGAGTGAAATTCAGACTGCAGATATGGCTTCAGGTTCTCCACTGCTTTTGGCTGAACCTCTGAGACCTGCTCTTTCAGGTGCTTCCTCTGTCCTTGTACTATCAGTGGAGGAAAATGGGCACTTCTTTATTGACCTGACAGAGGGCAGGGGTAGATTGGATATTCCCTGTGAGAGTGGTGAGGCCCTGGCACAGGTTGCCCAGGGAAGCTGTGGCTGCCCCATCCCTGGAAGTGTCCAAGGCCAGGTTGGACAGGGCTTGGAGCAACCTGGGCTAGTGGAAGGTGTCCCTGCCTATGGTAGGGGGATGGAATGAGATGAGCTTTAAGGTCCCTTCCAACCCAAACCATTCTATGGTTCTATAAAACGCAGCACAGGTAAGAAGGGTCCTGCCCCAGGAGACTCTGAGCTGTAGCAGGGACTCTCCATGGGAATTGTTTGGCTCCGTGTTGGGCCTGTTTGGAACATGAATTTTCAAAGGTGGCCGGGGGAAGCATACCCAGGGCTCAGCCCTGGGAGGAGAAAAGCAAGGAGGCATGTGGAAGCAGGGCATCTTCCTCCCAGCTGCTTGGTTCTCTGCAGTCCCCTGGAAAAGTACCTGTCTGGGCAGGTTATCCTGGAGTTACAAGAGGGCAAGAGAGCCAGTGCAGTGGCAGTCTGCAGTGCTACTGAGCTCCCACCTCTTCAGGAGCATCCCTCAGTGCCTGGGTAGAGAGGGTGCACTGGGATGACTCCTTGTTCATCTCTCCCAGACACCGCACTTGGTCAACCTGAATGAGGATCCACTCATGTCCGAATGTCTTCTCTACTACATCAAAGATGGGATAACGAGGTGAGGCCAGGTTCTGTGGAGTGGTGGGAGCCTTGTCCATATCTCAGTGCCTGACTTCCCCAGTTGGTCAGCAGAGTGACAGCTGTCTCCAGACACTGTTCCCGGGGCATCCCCAAAGTGCCATGGCCACATGTATTTGCCTGGGAATCTCGTGTGGGATGTTGGTCCAGCTGTGCACCAAGGGTTGCTCCTGTCAGCCCCAAGGATGGATTTGAGGGGAGACTCAAGGGGGGCTGTTTTGAGGAAGAATTGAGCTGGGTTGCCCCCACAGGGTTGGCCGAGAAGATGCTGAGAAGAGGCAGGACATCGTTCTCAGTGGGCACTTCATTAAAGAAGAGCACTGCCTGTTCCGCAGCGACACCAAAACAAGTGGTGAAGGTATTGCTTGTCTGGAGGGGCCCCACTGCCATGAGGACCCACCCCTCTGCATGTCCCCAGGACTTGCCCCCAGCCAGGGGTCCTGCCCTCCTCAGGCTAGTGGTGCTTTCCTGCATGGGTGTGGCATCTCCATGCTTCCAGAGTGAGCTACAACCCTCATGGCTGGGACAGGAGCTTATGCAAGGCATGGGGGAGCAAAGCAAGGCAGGGAGATCAGGGAGATCCTGGCTGAGCAGTCTGTAGCTGATTCCCCTGCCCAAGATGTGGAGCAGAGTTCACCTTCCAAAATGGCAGGAACCTGGGGGTGAAGGGGCTGTGGGAGATGAGCCTGGGAAGATGGAGTTGCCTTCTGGAGGCTCTGGCCGCCTCTCACATTTAGTTTCCAGCTTCCCTTAATCCTTGGGACTGCTCTGATTAACATTGGGTTGGCTGAGTCCCGTTGGCTGCCTAAGGTGTGGGTGCTGCTGGTGGGTCCCCTGAGTGTCCCCCCAGACTTGGAGTGCTGTCTGTGGTGGCTCTCACTTTCCAAGGCTGCCAGAGCAGCAGAGCTGGAGATGCAGGATTTATCCTGTTTCCACTTTACCTCCCCTCTCCCCTTTTCACCACGCCCTCAGTGATAGTGACCCTGGAGCCCTGTGAAGGTGCTGACACCTATGTGAACGGCAAAAAGGTGACGGAGCCCAGCATCCTGCGCTCAGGTGGGTCCCTGGGGCTGGCACGCTAGTGCTGCTCCAACCCACCTCCCTCCCTCCCTCCCACGGGGGGCCACGCACTTGTCCCACGTTAAACCCACGACACGTGCATCCCTGCAGGAAACCGCATCATCATGGGGAAGAGCCATGTCTTCCGCTTCAACCACCCCGAGCAGGCTCGGCAGGAGCGGGAGCGGACCCCGTGTGCCGAGACCCCCGCAGAGCCCGTGGACTGGGCGTTTGCCCAGAGAGAGCTGCTGGAGAAGCAGGGCATCGACATGAAACAGGAGATGGAGCAGCGGTAAGAGCATGGGCCGAGGTGCTAGGGAGTTGGGTGTCCACCTCCAGGTTGGTCATCCTCTCCTTCCCCTTTTCCACCCAGGCTCCAGGAGCTGGAGGACCAGTACCGGAGGGAGCGGGAAGAGGCAAACTACCTTCTGGAGCAGCAGAGGCTGGTAGGTGGCCAGGACCTAGCTCCTTCTGAGACTGCCCAGGCATGACTGAAGTCCTGGCAGATGTTTGCATGGGGTAGCTCTGTGTGTTCTAAATACAAGGGCAAACCTGTTATTCCTGGAGTTGTCCTCACAAACACAGATCCAGAGGAGGGAGGAGGCTGGGATCCTGCAAGGGGGAGTAGTGTGATGTGGCAGCATGGAGTGAGGTCACATCGGTGGGTTGCATCACCCCTCCTCCTGCTTCCCCCAGGACTATGAGAGCAAACTGGAGGCTTTACAGAAGCAGATGGACTCTAGGTATTACCCTGAGGCAAACGAGGAAGAGGAAGAACCTGAGGATGAGGGTGAGGGCTGTGTGACACCACAAGGTTTTGATGCTCTCTGTGGGAGCACAAAGAGTGGATTTGTGGGTGCCGTGGGCACCGATGTCCTGGCAGTGGGGTGACTGTCCCTCTGTGTCCCCGCAGTGCAATGGACGGAGCGGGAGTTCGAGCTGGCCCTTTGGGCCTTTAGGAAGTGGAAGTGGTACCAGTTCACCTCCCTCCGCGACCTGCTCTGGGGCAACGCCATCTTCCTCAAGGAAGCCAACGCCATCAGTGTGGAGCTGAAAAAGAAGGTGGGTGGCTGGGCTCCTCTCTGGCTTGCTGCAGCACTCACAGCAGAGGCCAAGAGAATGGGCAGCTGGGAAGTGCTGAGGAGGGGGTCACCAGAGGCACCACGTGGAACCCTCTGCCCTCCCAGGTGGCTCACCATGCCCTCTGCCCCTCTCCAGGTCCAGTTCCAGTTTGTGCTCCTCACAGACACACTGTACTCGCCTCTCCCTCCTGACCTGCTGCCTCCTGATGCTGCCAAGGACCGGGAGAAGCGGCCGTTCCCCCGGACCATTGTGGCCGTAGAGGTGCAGGACCAGAAGAATGGGGCAACACACTACTGGACCCTGGAGAAGCTGAGGTGGGCAAGTGATGGCTGTGCCGGGAGGGCTTGGGTGCCCACAGCCCTGTGTCTGACCGCTGCCATCCCTGTCCCCTCTCCCTGCAGGCAGCGCCTGGACCTGATGCGGGAGATGTATGACCGAGCAGCAGAAGTGCCTTCCAGTGTCATCGAGGACTGCGACAACGTGGTGACCGGTGGAGATCCTTTCTACGACCGCTTCCCCTGGTTCAGGCTGGTCGGCAGGTGAGCGCTTTGGCTCCTCTGAAGTGTGGCTGGGACCCACAGGTGGTCCTGTGGGAGGACATGCTGCCAGCGCTGCCCACCACGTGCAGGGCATTCATCCCCCCGTGGCACCCCGGTGCCCGCCTTACCTGCGATCACTGTCCTCCACGTTGGCTGCCGGGACCCCAAGGGACCCACGGGCAGCTGGCAATGCTTCTGCTGCCTGCCCTGACCCAGTGCTGGGAGCCATGGGCTTGGTGGGCTGCAGGGGTCACGGCTGTCCAGCAGGCTGAGAGCCTGTGCCAGCTGCGACCTCCACCCCAGTGGGCACACGTCCCTGCGCACACACTGGTGTCTGAGCATCTGTCTGCACAGTATGTGCCACGTGTCTCCTTGTGCTTCCCGCACAGCGGTTGGAAGGGTGCAGTGAATGAAGCAATGAAGATGGGCCACCCCAGAAAAAGGGTCTGCCCCGGCGGGCAGGGGGATCAGGGGGCTGAGCTGCATGGCCTGGAGGCATCCCCCCGTGCTGCAGCACAGGGAGAGATTCCCTCCAGTAGGAGGGGTGGTGGCAAGCCTTGTGCCACCTACTCCATCCCTGCATTTCCTGCAAAGCCAGCGAGGGGAGTCCCCAGCATTCACATCAGTTCCTTGGGTTGTTTTTTTCTCTGGTTGTTTGTGGCTTTAGAGATGTACCAGATGGGCAGGTCTTTGTTCCCAATGTCCCTTGATTTAAGGAGACAAAAAACCTGCCCCAAAACCCAACCAAGAAAAAAAAAAAAAAAAGCAAAATTCCTGTTCTTTCTGTTTGGAACAGCTGGTGTTAACTTGTCTTCTATCTTGTTGTACTAACCTTAGTTCAGATATCTCTGGCTGCAACAGCTCTCCTCTTTTCAACACATGCATGAGCGAGCGCATGGCTGATCTCACCCCCTCCCCTACCTTCTCGAACCCCGACTCCGACATCACCGAGCCTGCTGACGAGCAGCACCAGGGGCAGGAGGAGGAGGAGGAGGAGGAGGACCTGGAGGAAGACATCTTTCCGGAGTGCCCGCTGTGTGATGGCCGGGATCCATTTTACGACCGCTTCCCCCTGTTCAGTTTAGTAGGAAGGTTGGTGAGGTTTTAGGAGAGCATGCCGGGAAGGACCTAGCTCTTTCGCATGAGGGAACTGCTTTTGGACACGACTCCCACCTCCGGGGCGTCCTGGAGGTGCAGGGTGTGGCTGGCTGGGATTGCCGCCAAGCCCAGGTGCCTGGAGGGGTGGTGAGGTGCCCGCTGAGGTAGGGCTGTGAGGAGCACAGTGGTGGCAAGGGATGGCAAGACGAGGTGGATGGCACCTGTCTTTAGGCAGGTCTCTCTTTGGGGAGCCCCTGAGAAGGGGAGCTCTGCTGCACGTCCATCCCTGAAGGAGCTGGGGGAGCTACATGGAGGTCTCTATCCTGGGTGTCTGTCCCAGGGAGGGCCACCTCCCACCCGGCTCGGGGTGGCCCTGTGGTGCCACTTGCTGGGAACAAGATCAAAACCCCATGTGCCTCTGGCTCTGGCTTGGCCATCCCATGCATTGGTCAGCATGAGTCTCCCAAATGCAGAGGCTTGGATGTTCCCCAGTGGTTGAGAGGATGAAGCTGAGGGGGGTGAGCAGAATGCTGGGTGCAGGAGGGAGTGTCAAAAGTGGTCTTTGCTCTTGCCACTTGTACCAAGTGCTGAGCTTGGGGCCACACCTACCAGCTTGGCAGAGGGGATGTCCAGGGAGGTCGTGGGGACCTGGGTGCAGGCTCCAACTCTTCTTTGGCTCCGGCCAAGAACAACAGCTTTGATTTCTCATACCTGTTGGCTGGGAGACCCCACTGGGCTCCATCAGTCTTGGCCCGGAGTAGTCCACCAGCTGCCCCAAAGGTGGCTGTGCCACCAAACCTGGAGCCATATGCCCATTCCCCAGAATGGGATGTGGTGCTGCCAGCTCTCTCTGGCGTTTTCCCAAGGGAGTGTGTGCCAGGAGCTGGTCCCAGAGCTTCTGTCCCAGGCTGGGACTCCCTGAATGGGCTGGTCTGGGGCTCCTTTTCCTTGGTGTGCCAGAGCCAGGCCATGTGGTGGGGAGGAGAGACCAGAGCAGGCAGCGAGGGTGGAGGTGGGGTAAGAGTCCTGCAGCCTCAGACCGAAAGAGCTGGGTTCTTCCCCTTTTCTTTTCTTTTTTCCTTTTTTCCTTACAAAAAAAAAACCCCACCATATCAAAACAACCCCAAAACTGTCAAGGGCACTTCGAAAAACCAAACAAGGCCCTGTGGCAGCGGCCCCACTCTGTGCCGGGGGCATGTTCCCCAGAGCTCAGCGCCTTCCAACTTCTTTTGAGTCTGCCCTGGGTTTGGCTCCCCCTGCAGCAGCTCTGCCGGCCACATTTCTTGTGAAGTGTGCTTGGATTGGTTTATGATTGGATCTTGTCTTTGATTTTTTCCCTTTCTTTCTTTTTTTTTTCTTTCTTCTATTTTTTTTTCATTTTGGTTATTTTAAGGGTTTTTTTATTCTTTTTTTAGCTGCTGGCTCTATCTCTTCAAAGCTTTAGCGAAAATTGGGGTTATTTCACTTTTGTCTTCCTTTGGAAAGGCTTTTCTTTGGTCTGAGCATGCCATCTTTGCACCTCACCAATCTTGTGGTTAGTGTCCCTGCCCTCCTTCCTCTAGTGAAACACTTGTCCCCCTCCTCCCTGCCTGCCCTACTTCCTTCCCACTTTTCCCTGCCCTCTCCACCCCTTGGCTTTCACAGCAGCTGCCCTGTGATTTTGAGTGGGCGGCTGCACCCAGATCCCTGTGCTTCTGAGAGCTTCCCTGAGCATGTGGTCCTGTCAGGAAGCCCTGGCATGGTCCAGCCACTTGTCCCTGGTAGCATCTGAGAAGAGATGCAGTGAGATGGGCCCATCAGGAGACATTCATTTGGCATCACCTGCTTGAGACCTTGGAGACACTTTGCATGGAAAAAGCCTCGAGCAGCAGCTGGAGGTCAATGGGAGTCATCAGAACAGGGGAACCTCTGGACTTTGGGGATCGAGGTGCAAATGTAGGGCTGCAAGAGCCCCTGGGCACTCTGGGGTACTGCTGAATGTCTGAGAAGATTCCTGTGAGGTCGGGATGCCCTGAGCAGCGCTGCCAGCCGCCTGGAGTTGCAACCCTCATGGAAGCCTCCTGAAGCAGAGATGTCCTGACCAGCCCCTGCGCCATCCCACCCCCCAACACCCAACGACACTGCATGTCAAGACGCTGGTGGGTGCCCCAGGGAGAGGTGCTGGGCACCCCACACCCCCTCTTGCTGGGAGCAGTGCTGCTAGCTTGCACCTCTCAGCAGGGAGCTCGGCGCCAAAGGTGACTTGTCACTGTGGAGGGTATGGAATGCCACCATGGCCAGACCCAGAGGACCATTGGACAGCTGTCAGTGAGGTGGAGAGAGGCAGCAAGAGGACCCAAAATGCTTGAGAAACAGAGAGCTGTGGCCTGGCAGGAGGTGCTGGCACAGACATGATGCAGCCATCATGTTGGACCCTAGCACCTCTCCGTGGCAGCATTGGTGACCTGTATGCCACGGAGGACAGCAGGGAGGCTCAGACCTGCCAGGCATGCCATCCATCCCTGTGACATGCTGGCAGGTGACCCGGGACCCCGAAGCTATGTGTGCGAAGGGATGGGGAGGGAGGACACAGGCCACCCATGCTGCCAGTCACGCCATGCAGCCTTCCTTCCAGTGGTCCTGCGACACTGTGGCCACAGCCAGGGCCAGGAAACCCCAGCAGGTTCATCTCTGAAGACTTCTGGCCTCTGTCCAGAACCTCCTCCTCTTACCTCCTTTGCTCCTGACAGCCTCCATCTCCCTCGTCACCCCTTCCCCCTGCCTTGCCCCTGTCCTCCCCACAGTGACTCTGCAGCCACCCCCTAGTTGTGTCACAGCACCTCCTGCCTAAGTCCTCCAGCTCTCCACCACAGAGAAGGTCCTCTTGCCCTCCAGCTTCATGGTGGCACCAGTGCAGCCCCCTCCAGTCCTGCCTGCCGCGGAGGTGACAGCTGGAGGGGTCCGCAAGTCTGGTGTGCTCTGTGGTGCTGCTGCGGCACGTGCCGCCTCCTGGCCCCACCCTCCCGCCCGCCACACGCTGCCGCCCGCTGCCCCACCCCCTCGCCTGGCCCTGGCTGCCTCTCTTTAGTTTTGCTTTGCAGCACCGCGGTCGTGCCCTGAGCGGTGACCTGGGATCCCGGCCGCTGCCGGCCACGCCAGCCATGCCTGGGGACCTGCGGGTGGGAGCAGTGACCATTCTCCCCCTTTGTTGTGTGTCCCCCCCCTTCTCTGGCAGGGCCTTCGTCTACCTGAGCAACCTCCTCTACCCTGTGCCCCTGGTCCACCGCGTGGCCATCGTCAGCGAGAAGGGTGAGGTGAAGGGCTTCCTGCGCGTGGCCGTCCAGGCCATCTCAGGTAGGAGAGAACGCTCCCAAAATGTGCCCCTTGCATCCCCTGCACCCCCTGTGCTGGCTCACTCCCATCCCTCCACCAGCGGATGAAGAAGCCCCTGACTACGGCTCTGGTGTACGGCAATCGGGGACAGCCAAGATCTCCTTTGATGATCAGCACTTTGAGAAGGTACAGCAGGGCCAGCTCTCAGTGGGTGCTCAGGGACCCCAGACCTCTGCCTGCCACCACGATGCTCCCCACAGGGACCCCCAGGCTCCTAGAGGTGCAGGCATCATGGGAAAGGGACCATCAGGCAGACCCCAGACCTTGGGCACCCACCCGTGCACCCCGCTCTTGCCTGTGTCCCAGAGGGGCTGCCACAGGGTGGGAGGGGAGAGCTGGCAGTGCCCTGGTGCTCTAGGGTGCTAGCAGTGGTGCAAGCAGGACCACCTCGGGGATCACCAGCATCCCTGAGCCCCCCTTCCGGCACAGTTCCAGTCAGAGTCGTGCCCGTCTGTGGGGATGTCTCGCTCGGGGACCTCTCAGGAGGAGCTGCGCATTGTTGAAGGCCAGGGGCAGGTCAGCGACTTGGGTCCCTCTGCTGATGAAGTCAACAACAACACCTGCGCAGGTGAGGAGTTGTGACAGGCAGTCTGGGAGCAGTCCCCTGCCCCAGAACACAGCCTCTTGCACCCACCCCAGCATCAACAGCCCACTGCCCCAGTGTGGGGCTGCTGGCAGACACTGAAGGGGTGACACCCTGCCTTGCTAAGGGCCTCTCCATCCCTGCAGTGACCCCAGAGGACCTTCTCCTGGACAGCCCTGAGAAGCCTGTGCCAGATGGGCCGCTGGAGGTGGCTCTGGACCACCTGAAGCTGGGCAGCATCTTCACTTTCCGTGTGACAGTCCTGCAAGCCTCCAGCATCTCTGCAGAATACGCAGACATCTTCTGCCAGTTCAAGTGAGCCCCCAGTATCTCCCAGCCCTGCATCTCCCACCGTGCTCCAGCCATCACCTGGGAGCTGGTGGTGAACGTCAGGAAGCCCTACCCCCCCACCTGTGAGCCCTTTGTGGATGGGGAGGCAAAACCGAGGGCTGTGGAATGTGGAATGTGCCAGTGCCCTTGTTCAGTTGCTGGCAAAAGGCAGGGAAAGACTCTCATCAGCTTTGGGGAGTGCTGTGCCAGCTAAGGGTGCAGGCAGCAGCCCCAGGGGGAGCGGCCTCTTGTCCTGGTTCCTGCCTTCACTCCCTTCCCTGCTCCAGCATGTCCTCATCCCACAGCCCCCCAGCTACCTTGCTTGCCTCCACAGCTTCATCCATCGCCACGATGAGGCCTTTTCGACAGAACCCTTGAAGAACACGGGACGAGGACCACCACTGGGCTTCTATCACGTCCAAAATGTGCGTAGCTCTCCCCTTCCACCCCTTTGCCCATGTGGCTGCTGGGGTCTCTGCGGGGCCATTGGCTGGATCTTCTCCCCAGGGCAGCAGGTTCCTCTTGGCTTTCCCAGCCCTTCACAGCCACCCAGCTAAGCCAACCTTAGATGGTGGATGTGTGAGGGAGAGACCAAAAGCCGCTGCTGTCCACCCAAAAAGGCTGGGATTTCACAGCAGTGGTCTTGGTGGGGAGAGCATCCCTGAATGGGGGGAGGAATGGGTGAGGAATGCAGGGGACAGACGGGCTTGCACCCTCACAAGGGTGCTGTTACTGGCTCTGTCCGCTTTCCCAGCTAAACTGTGCTGGCGGTGGCTCTTTCTCTTCTAGATCGCTGTGGAGGTGACCAAATCCTTCATCGAATACATCAAGAGCCAGCCAATTGTGTTTGAGGTGTTTGGCCACTACCAGCAGCACCCCTTCCCGCCTCTCTGCAAGGACGTCCTGAGGTGGGCACCCCTGGGCCAGCCCCAGCCCCTGGCTGCCCCGGGGGCTCCAGGTGCAGCAGGCTGCCTGGGGACCTGAGAAAGGGTGGCCCCAAGGCATAGGTGGGGTTGGCCAGGTTTGGGGATCCCTGGGGATGCTTTAACCAAGCTGGTTCTGTCTGCAGCCCACTGAGGCCATCCCGGCGCCACTTCCCTCGTGTGATGCCGCTCTCCAAACCAGGTACGGAACCTGGCCTTCTGCTCCTGTTCCCGCCCCTATTTCCCATGCTGGGTGCAGTGTTCCCTTCCCCAGACGGACCAGTTAGGACTGCAGGGGCACTCAGAAAATGTTCTGTGGGCCAGAGCACCCCCAAGCCCCATACACACTAATTTCTGCAATACTCAGCAGATGCAAAGGCTCCATCTCACCTCCTGCAGAGTGTCAGGGAGGAGGCTCTTTGTCCTGGGTTGCTCAGATGTCCACCTAGCCCCACCGTCCCACAGGGGTGTTGGGGTCCCCTCAGCACTGGCTGCTGAGACTCCAGTTGCAGGGGTTTGGCTGTGCAGTCACCACACCACCACTAGGGAAGCCTCCCACTGGTTGTCCCCAAACAGTCCCTGGAGCTGCACTGTGTGGTTTGGGATGTGTTCACGCCGAGACTGCAGGCACTTGGTGTGCATCCTGGGGATGGGTGAGGCCAGCCTCATGCTGACACCCTTGCTGCCCCATGCTGGGCAAGGCAAGGGAGAAGGCACGCCAGTGACTGGCAAGCTCCCTGGGATGACGCTCTTGTTGCTGCCTCTGAATGTGTTCCCACGGTCCCTGCCTGCTCTGCCCTTTCCCTGCCATCCTGTGCCCCCAGTGGTGGGCTCAACCTCTTAGTTGTCTTTCCAACCCACTGCAGTGCCTGCAACAAAGCTGAGCACCATGACTCGGCCCAGTGCCGGCCCCTGCCAGTGCAAGTACGACCTGATGGTCTTCTTTGAGATTTGTGAGCTGGAGGCCAATGGCGAGTAAGTCCTGCTGGGAAAGGGAGGCAACAGGATTTGCCAAGTGCTCAGCACCTCTGGGCAGGCTGGCAGGACTCTGTGTTATGCCACAATCCTCTCTTCCAGCTACATCCCTGCTGTTGTGGACCATCGTGGAGGCATGCCGTGCCATGGGACCTTCCTCCTCCACCAGGTACTCTCTGCCCAAAATGCTGTCCTGGCTCTGACTTTTGCTGGGACCTGTGTTAACCACTGTCCCTTCTCTCTGGCCTCGTGGGTCTCAGGGCATCCAGAGGAGAATCACCGTCACCTTGGTGCATGAAACAGGCAGCCTCATCCGCTGGAAGGAAGTGCGGGAGCTGGTTGTGGGTAAGCCAAGCCAGCCTTCAGCCCCACCAAGTCATCTTCTTGGGCTGTTTCACGTTCCCATGTTCCCACATTCCCATGAGGGGCTTAACACCTCATCTCCCCTCCTGCCCTGCAACAGCAAAGTGGCAGCTGCCTGGCAGGTGGCACCAGGACACTGCCTGGGCAGGACACCTCACCCTCTGCCACCGTGTCCGGGAGCTGGACCAGAATTCCGGTGCTGAATGGCCAAGTGCTGGGCAGCTGCTGTCTCTGACAGGGGGGTCTGCAGGAAGGTGGTCTGCCCTTGTCTTTGCAGGGACCCTCATAGGGCCACTGCCTGTCATCTGAGAGGCATCCCTTTGCTGTGTTTGCAGGTCGAATTCGGAACACCCCAGAAGCAGACGAGTCACTCATTGACCCCAACATCCTGTCCCTGAACATCCTCTCCTCCGGGTACATCCACCCCTCCCAGGATGACCGGTGCGTGATGCTTTCTTTCTTGCTCTTCCTCTGCTGGGGTGAGGGATGGATGGGGGCAAGTAGCAGTCCCTCTCTTCCCTGGAGAGCTCTGGGACCCTCTGCAGGGTCCTGCTGACCCATTGCTGCCTTGAGGCAGGGTTTTTCTGAGGCTGCTTGGTGTTCAGGGCTGCCAGCCCTCTTCCTCCTCCTCCCTAAGGCCTTGATGTGCTGGGGAGAGCACTACAGGGAATCTGTGTGTGGGTGCTGTTCTCTGGTACCAGCTGTGACCGCCTGACACAGCCAGTTGGTGCCAGTGCTGAGAGGACGTCCCACCTCTGTGGCTGGGGGGGACCTGCCAAATAGGCTGTTTTTCCCATTTCCCAGCAAACTTGCTGGAAAGGCCACTTGTGACCATGGCAGGTCCCCATCTGTGTGGAAGTGATGCAGGAAAGCTATTCCCATCAGTGTGGGTGACTCTGGGGATGCCCACCCCTTCCTGCCTGTCCCAGGGGGCTGTGTCATAGAATCATAGAACCACAGAGTGGTTGGGGTTGAAAGGGACCTTAAAGATCATCTCATTCCAAACCCCACTATGAGCAGGGACACCTTCCACTAGACCATGTTGCTTAGAGGTGTCCCCGCTGTACGTTTGACAGAGTGTGAAAGCAGCAGGACTGGAAGATCTTTATGTTTTAAGATCTCCCTGGCTGGGTCCTTCGGTGGCAGGGGGAGTGGTGGGTGCAGAGGGCACAGCTCTCCTCTGCACCAGGGCTACTGGTGAACCTCAGGGGACTGGTGGGGGTCTCTGGCCAGAATGTGTGGGTGCGGCAGCCGTGACAAAATGGGGATGGTCACTGCCAGCACCAGGAGCAGCAGGACTGGTCCTTGCCTGTGTGCATTGTGGTTGCTGGTGCAGGATCATCCTGGTGAGGAATGGGGACCACTTTTTCCCTTTTCTTTTTTGGGTTACCACTGCCCCGAGGAGGCCTGTCCCAAGGCAGGGTGTTTTGAAGGGGAATGATGGGGCTCTGGATGGGAGGTGGTACCCTGAGCACGCTCAGGCAGTTCCTGGACGTGGCAGAGTGACCCGCACGGAGTACCTGGGCAGCAAAGCCGAGCCATGGGGTCAGTGTGTGCGCAAGTGTCGGAGCAGGAGACTTTGTCACAGCCTTGGGGATACAGAAGGAGGCCACATAGGGATGGTCAGGAGAGGAAGGCCTGGCCCAGTGGAGCAGTGGTGGCTTTTTCGCTGGGAGCTGGGTGGCTGTGGCACCCACGGGCTCTTGGGGCTGCACTGCGTTTTGTCAGCTCCTGATCTGGCCACTTTGTCCCAGGTGCAGCCAAATGAGATCTTTAGCATGTCTAGGGTAGCCTGGCAGGAGTGACATGCCTCCTGCTCTGCCTTCCACCCCACAGGTCCTGCAGGACAAGGAGACACATCTTGGGCTGAGGGGATGCTTGGGGTGTGGAGAGGAGCATGGAGACAGGGGGCTTGGATTTTGCATCTGCACGCTCAGAGAGTCTGTGCCTCAGGGTCAGCCCCAATTTGGGGGCACAGGCTGGCGTGCATGCCATATCCATCCCATATCCATCCCATGGAGCCCATGCCCATTGTTGGGCAGGGAGGAGGGCACGGCCAGCTGCCCACAGGGCACTAGCTGCAGTGCCCCCCGCTTCCACCCTGCATGCAGACACGCATGCTTCGCCCTGCAGCTGTGAGGCCAGGCAGAAGGAAGGCAGCAAGCAGGGGTAGTGCCCACTTCATCCTCCTCCCAGCCGCTTGCGTTCCCCGCTTTGCTGCCTTGTGCCATGCAGCCTCCATTGCCTGGAGCAGCTCTAGCTCCCCCTCTGCAGCCTTCCCAGCCCCCCGGAGCCACTCAGAAGGAGGCTGGGGGAGTAGTCCAGCTCTCTCCCCAGAACCCATCCATTCCTGCATCCAGTGTCCAGAGAGGAGGCCCCAGAGAGGAGGCATGGGGGGCAGTGCCTGGTGTCCCCCCTCGCTTCCCCCAGCTGCTGCTGCCCATCCGAGCCCACACTAACCATGTGATTGTTTTGTGTTTTTGCAGGCAGTTTCTTGATTCGGATATGCCTAGGTATTATTTGTTTCCATTGGGTTTTTTTCCACTCCCCCTTCTTCTCTCCTTTCTTTCTTTCTACCCCCTTGCCTCGGCACGCTCACTCCCGCCGGAGGCAGCATTTGGACATCCAGCCCCTCATCCCTCCACATGCCCCATCCCTCCTCCCTCCTGCCCTGGCACCTCTCGCTCACTTGGCCCCTTTTGCTGTTTGTTTGGGCCACGCTCTGGCTGGCTGCCGCTCCCCCTCGCACGCCTGCATCCCCATTGCCTGATTTTGGTTTTATTCTTGCTTTTCGACTTCGCTACTCTCCCATCTCTCTGGCATATGGCACCGGGTGTGCCAGACCCTCGTTGTCTCCTTCCCCAGCCCCAGCTCAGCCCCTGATGCCACTTGGAGTAGCTGCAGGGCTGGTGTGGACAATGGCAGTTTTGGAGCATGTCCTGTCCTCTCCCAGGCACTCAGTGACAATGGCAGTTGGTGTGGCAGCAGCTGGCCGCCCCGGGCACGGTTGTCCTGCGGGTGTAGGTGTGGCACACGGGCAGTGTGTGTCTGTACACAGGCGCGGCAGTGGGGGCACACACCCGTACCACGGCACAGACTGTTGTACCCCTGTGTAAAGGGGCAGCAGCTGTTCCAGAACTGCAGGCTTTAGCTGGGACTGCTGGGTGAGCCTGGTGAGTGGCGTGTGGGTGAGAGGCACCAGAGCTGGGGATGTGCCAGCAGCTTCTGGATGGGAGCATCACCGAGGGCCCGGAGGAGGGGGCGTCTCACCACTGTGCTCACGGCGGAAGAAGAGGGGGATGTGCCTGGGAGACAAGGGATGGGATGCCCTGAGTTCTGGTGGGCTCCATAACTTTGTGCCTGAGAGGTTGTCCTCTTTACAGCAACTCAAAGCTGGTCCTGCTCAGAGGTGTTGAAGGGCAGAGCTGTCCCTCCAGCTGTCCCTCCCAGCTGAATACAGCATGGACCCAGGCCCCCCACTGCAGGAGAGGTTGCCCATGGTCTCTCAGCACAGTGATGAGAGACCTGTGGACCAAGGGATGGGCCAAGAAATCATCTGCTGTGTGGGTGGGGGTAGGATGGCTGTTCCCCCCCAACTGGCACCGTCCCAGGGGATTGTGCTGGGTGGGAGCTCTTTGCCCTGCGATGGTATGAGGGTGGTTAAGGGGATAGGGAGCATATGTGCTTGCTTCCGAGCTGCTGGACTGTGAGGAAAGTGGGAGGCTGAGGGTCTCCACCCAGGCAGGTAAGCCTCTGTCTGCCTTCACCGAGCTCCTTTTGGGTTCCCATTTGGGGTCCAGCTAGGCAGGAGCTCCCTTGGCCAGCAGTGCTAATACGGGTTGAGTCCCTTCAAAAGGGGCTCTTCTGACCTGTCGTTTCTCTGTGTGTGTATGTGTGTGTGTTTGTCCTTGGGTCGCCTTCCACTTATAGCATTTCGCTGGGAAATGACACTAGGTATTTCACGCGCACCTGCTCGGTCTGGTCCCTCCTGCTTTTCTCTCTTTCCCCTTTGCCTCTTCCCTTTGCTTTTTGCTCTTTTTCCCCTCCCCTGAGGCTCCTCTTTTCCTCCTCCTCCTTGGGGAGTGCTCTCTTCTCAAGCAACCTGTGTCTGCAAAGCAATCCTTTGCCTTGGCTCTGTCTCACGCCAGGGGATTTTATGTGTTTTACACACCTTCTGAAAGCGTCACTCTCCCTCTTCTTCTAATGCGAGGGAAATTACAGTTCAGAGCCTCTCCCTGCTCCTGCTGGCTGCCCCCGGCTCTTGTTAAAATTGCTCCTCAGCCACCTGGATGCTGCTTTGGGGACATGCTGAAGTGAGACATGGCTGAGCCATGGCTTCCTGAGGACGCTCGGGCAAGAGCCAGGGCTGCGGCAGCTCTGGATGGCTTTGGGGAGTGGGTGTACTATAAAGCCAAGGTTGGCCTGGGAGGGAGCCCTGGAGTGCAGTGTGGGGTGAAACAGGGATCCCCCATGCTCTCTTACTGGAGCCACCTCCTGCTTCCCCCACCCTCGATTGCCCACCCAAGGAGGGCAGCTGCCACTCTGGCTCTGAGTGGCTGTGCTGTCCTCTCCAGGACCCTGTAGGCATAGATGAGTGGGACCAAGTGTCCCCTGCTCCTTCTTTCAGCCTGGAAGCCATGGAAGACACAGCAAGGGGCCTGAGGCAGCAGGGTGAGAATGGGGCTGGCGATGAGGGCAGACCAAGAGCCAGGGGAGACAGCCTGACAAGGGCCAGCCACAGAATCATGGTCCTCAGCTTCTTGCTGGGGCCCAGGGCTGGCAGACAGGGGCAGCCCTGGGGAAAGGGACCTGGCTGGTGGGGGGGCTGCACGCCCAGAGGTGGGCTGGCAGCAGCCTCTCAGTGCCAAGCATCCTCCCTCCTTTCCCTTCTGGCCATTGTCACCCGAATGGCAGCAGCCGCTCCTGGCAGGGGCTGAGGGGTGCTATGTGCCCCAGGCTGGAGGGTGGGGACTGGCCTGGGTGCACTGGGGATGGCAGCCCCCTGCTCTGAGCACGGGGATGGGGCATGAACCCTCCTTTGCCCTCCTTTGCCTTCCCAGCCTGCTCTGCCTTGCCTGCACACCAGTTGAGCCCCCCCTCCTCCCACGGTCCCTGCTCCCCAAAACCCCATTGGCCATTTCGAGGGTGCCATGTCCTCTTCCCACCACACCTTATGCCCTTTTGCTTTGAGCCTGTGTCCTCTGGAGTGGCTGTCCCCACCTGTCCCCACTGCACATGCATGTCTGTGTGTCCTTGCAGGCCTGCTGCAGCGCTGGGGGGGACGATGGCATCTCCTTGCTTGCTCGCTCGCCAGAGGTTCCAGGGGGGGTTGTTTTACCTGCCCTGCTGTGTTTTTTTGGCAGGACTTTCTACCAGTTTGAGGCGGCGTGGGACAGCTCCATGCACAACTCGCTGCTGCTCAACCGTGTGACCCCGTACCGGGAGAAGATCTATATCACCCTGTCAGCCTACATCGAGGCAAGGACCTTGGCTGGGGTCATTATACACCAACAAAGTCTGGTATTTCCCCTGCCATTGGGGTGCAGCCAGCGTGAGCTCCTCTTAAGCCAGTGCTTATGGAGTGCAGGGTTCAACTTGTACCTCGGGGGCCCTGTGGGACCCTGGGAGTGGAAACTGCTGGGCACAGGGGTGGGAGAGACTTGCTGGGCAGCCCCCTGATGCCTCCCCCCTGCCTTGCTGCAGATGGAGAACTGTACTCAGCCCGCCGTCATCACCAAAGACTTCTGTATGGTTTTCTACTCCCGGGACGCCAAACTTCCTGCCTCCCGCTCCATCCGCAATCTTTTTGGCAGCGGCAGCCTGCGGGCTTCTGAGAGGTACCAGGACGCTCCTGCCTTTTGGGGACAGGAGAACCCTCACCCAAGGACTGGAGCTCTCCTTTCACCCAGCAGCCTGGGTGAAATAACCGGGATGTGGAGACGTGGCAGAGCCAGTAACGCTTCATCTCTCTTTGCTCACAGCAATCGTGTGACCGGAGTCTACGAGCTCAGCCTCTGCCGTGTGGCCGATGCCGGCAGCCCAGGTGGGTGCCACGCCTCTGCCCAGGTGTTCACCTGGGTCTGGGAGGCACAGCCGGGCATTTGGCTTGGAGGCTGTGCGTCTGTCCCCCCCAGCTGTGCGTCTGTGCCCGCAGGGATGCAGAGACGGCGACGGCGCGTTCTGGACACCTCCGTTGCCTATGTGCGGGGAGAGGAGAACCTGGCTGGCTGGCGGCCCCGCAGTGACAGCCTCATCCTTGACCATCAGTGGGAGCTGGAGAAACTCAGCCTCCTGCAAGAAGTAAGAGCCTGAGCTAGAAATGGGCTGAAATGGTGCAATTGGCAGCTCAGCAGCCCCTCACTCTACTGGTGCTGGGGAGATTCCCCACCCTGCATGTCACAGCCCTCCTGGTTGAGGGAGGAGGCAGGAGCAGGGCTGTGCCAGTAGCTCCTGTGCACTGCTGTCAGCCAGATCCCAGCAGACCCAAAGCTAACGAGCAGATGGGGTTAAGGGGGCCTGGGGAGGGGGAAGGGGGCCACTCCTGAGCCTGAGTGCCTGTGCCTAGGTGGAGAAGACAAGGCACTACCTGCTACTGCGTGAGAAGCTGGAGACGACCCAGCGCCTGGGTCTGGAGACCCTGTCCCCCTGCTCCGGTGAGGACTCTGAGTCCCGAAGCACCTCCTGCGTCTCCTCCCCACTCTCTGCCGACGGGGCCCCTGAGGGCCGCACCTCACCCCCTGAAACCCCCAGCGAGAGGCAGAAGGAGCTGGCTGTGAAGGTACCATCCTGCAGCATCCCCAGCTTGCGGGGATGAAGCCAGGAAGTGGCTTCCACTGGGCGGCTGGGGATTGTGGCAGTAGCAAGCCCAAGAGGAGTGGGAGGAGGAAGGTGCCTCATGCCCCACTGTCCTTCTCCTCTCTCTGCAGTGCTTGCGCCTGCTCACGCACACCTTCAACAGGGAGTACAGCCACAGCCACGTCTGCATTAGCGCCAGTGAGAGCAAGGTAATATGGCCCCCACGGGCTCTGTGGGGCCTGTGGGGGCCAGTAAGGGTGTGTGCCTGGGCTAATGGCTGGGCAGGGGCTAGATGGGCACTATGGCACAAGTCATCCCTGTTCCAGGGTCTCTGCTCCCTCTGCCTGCCCTGGTATTCCCAGAGCCGGTGGCTCTAAGGACTATGCCAGGAGAGTACCTTGCCAGCCAGGCGTCTTGCTTCTCCCCATATGAGCAGGAGCCTGTGCCTGGCTTTGTGCAGAAACTCTAGTCCACATCTCCATTCCTCCACAGCTGTCTGAAATGTCCGTGACCTTGATGAGAGACCCCTCCATGTCAGCTCTTGGGGTCACCACTCTCACCCCCTCCTCGACCTGCCCATCACTGGTGGAAGGACGTTACAATGCCACAGAGGTTAGGTAAGAAGCTGGTGGGGAGGTTCTGGTGGCATTCCCCAAGCAGGGCAGCTGTATCACTGGGACACAGTCCTGGCCTATGGATGTTTCCCAGCCATACTCTTCCTACATTCCAACCTCTCCTCTTTCCCCAGACCCCAGCAGGTTTCCTCCAGGGCAGACAGCCCTGACCTGGAGCCTGTGGTAGAAGGAGAGCAGAAGAAGTCCCCAGCCCGCCGACCTGAGGAGGAGAAGGAGCCCCAGCGTTTGCTGGTGCCTGACATCCAGGAGATCCGAGTCAGGTAGGAGTGACTGGGGCAGCCAACGAGGGGAGTGCCTATGGGCAGGTGGTACCATGCCCTACCATTGCCACCTCCTCGTGGTCTGTATCCCACCCTGACCTTGGTCCCTTCTGCAGCCCCATCGTCTCCAAAAAGGGCTACCTGCACTTCCTGGAGCCCCACACCAATGGGTGGGTGAAGCGCTTCGTGGTGGTTCGGCGCCCATACGTCTACATCTACAACTCAGACAAGGATGCAGTTGAGAGGGCCATACTCAACCTCTCCAAGGCCCAGGTGGAGTACAGTGAGGACCAGCAGGCCATGCTCAAGGTAGGGCACCGGGAGCCAGCCCCGCTCCATGCACCCCCTTGAGCAAGAGGCTCAGCCCCGGCTCTCCCCCGGCAGACCCCGAACACGTTTGCGGTGTGCACGGAGCACAGGGGCATCCTGCTGCAGGCGAGCAGTGACAAAGACATGCACGACTGGCTCTACGCCTTCAACCCTCTCCTGGCTGGATCCATAAGGTACCAGGCACAGGGGGGGAAGGAGGGTGCAGAGAAGCCATTGCTGGGGGTCTGCAGGTAGCCAAGCATGCTCCCTACCCTGCTCCCAGTGCTCTCCCTGATGCAGCCCCCAAACGGGTGTGGGGAGCATCTCCTTTACAGACCTGTGCCCGGACAGGCTGTCAGCTGGCAAAACTTGGAACATATTGATTTTGCTTTCAGCTCCTCCACTTTTAAATGCTTCAGTCTAGGGCCAGATCTCAGCTGGTACAGAAGCACTGTTATGCTGAGCTCAAAGCAACATCCATGCCTGGTGGTAGGGATACTGGCCTGTCACTGTTGTTGAGACTGTCTCACAGAGTTTTTGAGACTGTTAAGGAAACCTTCCTATCTGACCATCCAGGAGCCACTCTGGAAGTCACACCTGCACCACCTGAGCTGGGACTGAGACCCCTTCGCAGTGGGAGATCCCAGTGAGCTGAAAGTGGCCTTGCTTCACTCTCACTCACCCACTCACAGTCAGACAAGCTTTCCTCACAGGCTCGGTCACCGGTTTCTCATAGCAGAATCTCAGACATCTCGATCCTTAAAATAATTTAATCATGATGCAATAACAAAACAGCAGCTGGAGCTGGGTGCCTCCAAGGAGGGACCCCGAACAAAGGAAACCCTAGGCTTTTATACCCCTTCAGTCTAATGGCATGAAAGTCTGGGTTCCTCAGCTCCTCCTGTGTGTGTCAGTGTCCCTCACCCACCTTGGCCACAGGTCCCAGTGTCCTTTGTTATGCAAAGGGTCAGCAGTTCACAGCCTCTCACCCCAGAGCTCAACCTGCAGCTAGAACTGCAGCTACACACCGAGCTACCTGCACTAAATGTATTCATTCCTCAACAAGACCATCTCGTGGAGTTCTTGAGAGCATCTTAAGTGGCAGGTCTAGGGGAGTAGGAGTAAATGCACAGAAATGTGCATGCTCTGGCTAAAGAGACATTAACTCTGTGTCCCTCCAGTTCTGTCTGGATTCAAGCATCAGCCTGGAGGCAGGACACTAAACCTGGGAGTCCACACCTCTCCTTGTCCACATCTCTAACACCTTTTGTCCCTTGTTTTCCAAATCAGATCTAAGCTGTCCAGAAGGAGAACAGCCCAGATGAGAATCTAACCTGAAAAACACCTTCCACCTCATCCGTCTGCCAACAGGATCAAGATAGCTGATTCTGTCTGAAGACTCCCCATGTTAATGTCTGATCTCTCACACCATCTGCTGCCCCAGCTCTCTGCTCCATGGAAGGATCTGTCTCGATTCACACCTTCACAGGGGAAACTCACTTCTGTTTGTAGCTGCAAAAGCCTGGACCTGCCTGGGCAGGATTCCTTGTGCTCGTGCCATCTTCTGCCTGTCCTCCCATGGGTGACCTTCATATCACACCATCTAACGCTCCAAAAAGGTCCCTATCAGAGGGGAGGGAGTGAGGAGGGTAGTTTTGGCTAAAAGCTGGTCTTTGATCTACAGAGGTGGGAATTCAGTAAAGCTCAGAGGTGGGAGAGCAGGAGGAATTGCCCCCAGGCGAAGGGAAAGTGGTAGTTTAGGACTTCCTAGTTAACTGATATTTCTGCAAGAGACAGCAGACTAAGATCAGGTGTCAGTACTCTAAGATTATATTTATAAAGTATTTATTTCTATTTACATCACAAAAATCCCATAAATTGAGTCCTGGTCCCTGGCCAATGCCTCCCCCAGACAAGGGAGAGCCTTGGTGGTGGGCCAGGGAGATGCCTTCCCCAGTAACTCCCTGGCTTGTGCCCAGTGGCAGCGGAGCTCTTGCCCTTGCTCCCTGCCCTTCCCCAACCATCTGCTTTGCCCTCCCCTGCAGCTTAAACAACTTCTCCTCCGAGCAGTGGCTGGACAGCCCACCTAAAGAAGGCAATTCCTACCCGCCCATCTACCTCTGGAAGGGAGGAGCCTGCTGTCTCAGCTGGCCAAGGCACCCACATCCATGCAGATGGGTCACCGCACTTTCAAGCTTGGTCCTACCAGAGGGAAAAGGAGAGCTCTGGGAATGGCTCTGCCTGCCACCCTGTGCTGGGCTACCCTTTCCAACCAAAAGAACATGGGCCACCTCCACTATCCCAGCCCAGGTGTCTTGTCCAAAGGGATTTCCCACTCTTAGGGCAGGATGCCAAGGGTCCCATCCCTGCAGGGAGTGTGGAGGTTCAGGTGGAATGGGAAAATTCTCCAGGAGCTGGGGCTAGGAATGACCATCCCAACCAACAGGATCCTCGTTGCCCTTCCCCAAAAGGGCTTGCACATCCCTTCTCCTCCCAACAGGACGACAGTCTCAAAGCAGGCCAGAGGGGCAGGGGAGAGGCTGGCCTGGGTGTGTCAGGGTGGGGCTTCTTTTTTCTGTTGTATCTGGTGTTTTCTCACTCCTCTTCCTCTGCTGCAGAAGCGAACACCCACCTCCCCTCACCCTGCCTCCATCAGCACGTTAATCGGGGGGCTTCCCGTGTCAGAGGTGTCTTTGCTGAAAAGACATTCTCCAACCATCACTGCTTCCCACCTCCTCCAGCTCTCCCTCTCCTCCTTCTCCTGCCTCTCACCCATGGGTAGATGTTTTCATTCAGGGCTTCCCGAGTGGCCAGTGGTCCAGCACAGCTCCAGGCAGGAAGGAGAGCATCTCCCAGGCACCCCTCCGGCTTTGCTGTCCCTCGTCCAGCACGGCTGTGCCCTGGCTCTGCCGCACTCCCTGCGCTGTCTGTGGGGTGTGTGTGTGTGTGTGCGTGTGTTGGACGTGCTGCTGTCTTCTCGTTACACTTGTGTTGTGGGGGGCACGGACAGGTAGGGACGTCGCAGGTGGGCTGAGGCTTGCACGGGCCCCCTCACTGCATGTCAGGCGCCCTTTAGCCTGGGTTTCACATCGCAGAAAGGGCTTGGGGATTCTTCTTGAGCACATGCTAGTTCTGCCTGGCCTCACCACAGCTCCTTGGGCATCTCACCCCCTTGCTACGGCCCAAAGCTGCAGTGGGGCTGCTCCTCTCAGCCCTGCTCTCCCACCCAGGACACGCTCCCCATCAAACTGGGCTATTTTCCTCCCTGTGATCCATTTTAGAGACCTGGAGGCCAACTCATGCCCTTTATGGAGGAAGAGGTGCCAGCCCAGAGGCACAGAGAGGCTGAGCTGGGGCAATGCAGGGCTCCAGGCTGTGACATCCTGGCTCCCATGCCCTGGACAAGGACTAGTTGGTACCATCCTAAATTTCAATGTAAGGGGCTAAGGATGGCAACAGTGGGTGCCTGAGGGGCAAGGGGAGGCTCTTCCAGCGTGGAGGCAGCTTCTGGCAGAGACAGGACCTGTGTCTGTCAGGGACCAGACACAGGTTCACTGGTCGGGGCCAGGCCGTGCTGCCTGTGCCACAGGCGAGAGGCAGCCAGGGGAAGGGCTTCCCCTAGCCAGAGCCGAACCGTGCCTGAGGCCAGCAAACCTGCAGAGCAGGCGGCTCGGCTGGGGGTCGGGGCCAAAGGAGAAAGGGCTGCCCGCCAGATGCTGCCGCGCCTGTCCCCGGCACAAGGGC